GGACACTTGGGGACACCTGGGGACACCTGGGGACACTTGGGGACACTTGGGGACACCTGGGGACACCTGGGGACATCTGGGGACACTTGGGGATATCTGGGGACACTTGGGGACACTTGGGGACATCTGGGGACACTTGGGGACATCTGGGGACACTTGGGGATATCTGGGGACACTTGGGGATATCTGAGGACACCCCTCAGGGCACAGCCTGGTCTGGGGATGTGCCAGGACACCCTTGGGGACATCTGGGGACACCTGGGGATATCTGGGGACATCTGGGGACACCTGGGGACACTTGGGGACATCTGGGGACACTTGGGGATATCTGGGGACATCTGGGGACACTTGGGGACACTTGGGGACATCTGGGGACACCTGGGGACACTTGGGGACATCTGGGGACACCCCTCAGGGCATGGCCTGGTGTGAGGATGTGCCAGGACACGCCTCAGGGCACCATGGGGACATGTCCTGACATGCCAGGACACGCCTGGGGACATTTGGGGACATTTGGGGACACCCCTCAGGGCATGGCCTGGTCTGGGGACGTGCCAGGACACATTTGGGGACATTTGGGGACACACCCTGCCACACCTGAAGCTCAGCTTGACACATAAAACCAGCCCTAAACCACCTAAACCAGCCCTAAACCACCTAAACCAGGCCTAAACCAGCCCTAAACACCCTAAACCAGCCCTAAACCACCTAAACCAGGCCTAAACCAGCCCTAAACCAGCCCTAAACCAGCCCTAAACCACCTAAACCAGCCCTAAACCAGGCCTAAACCAGGCCTAAACCAGGCCTAAACCAGCCCTAAACCACCTAAACCAGCCCTAAACCACCTAAACCAGGCCTAAACCAGGCCTAAACCACCTAAACCAGCCCTAAACCAGCCCTAAACCACCTAAACCAGGCCTAAACCAGGCCCTGGCACACAAAACCAGGTTTAAATGTGTCTCAGAGCGCTTAAACCCACCCCAGTTTTGGGGCTCCAGGGGCAATTTGGGGGTCCTGGTGCAGTTTTTGGGGTCCCAGGGGAAAGTTTTTGTGTCCTGGGGAAGTTTTGAGGTGCCAGGGGGGCAGTTCTGGGGTCCCAGGGGTGCAATTTTTGGGGTCCCGGTGCAGATTTTGAGGTCCCAGTGCAGTTTTGGGGATCCCAGGGCAGTTTTTTGGGGGTCCCAGGGCAGTTTTTTGGGGGTCCCAGTGCAGTTTTTGGGGTCCCAGGGCATTTTTTGAGCTCCAAGTGCAGTTTTTGGGGTCCCAGTGCAGTTTTTGGGGGTCCCAGTGCAGTTTTTGGGGTCCCAGTGCAGTTTTTTGGGGGTCCCAGGGCAGCTTTTTGGGGGTCCCAGTGCAGTTTTTGAGCTCCCAGTGCAGTTTTTGGGGTCCCAGGGCAGTTTTTGGGATCCCAGGGCAGTTTTTGAGCTCCCAGTGCAGTTTTTGGGGTCCCAGTGCAGTTTTTGGGGGTCCCAGTGCAGTTTTTTGGGGGTCCCAGTGCAGTTTTTTGGGGTCCCAGTGCAGTTTTTGGGGTCCCAGGGCAGTTTTTTGGGGGTCCCAGGGCATTTTTTGAGCTCCCAGTGCAGTTTTTGGGGTCCCAGGGCAGTGTTTTGGGGTCCCAGTGCAGTTTTTGAGGTCCCAGTGCAGATTTTGAGGTCCCAGTGCAGTTTTTGGGGGTCCCAGGGCAGATTTTGGGGGTCCCAGTGCAGTTTTTTGGGGTCCCAGGGCAGTTTTTGGGGGTCCCAGTGCAGTTTTTGGGGGTCCCAGGGCAGTTTTTTGGGGGCTCACCAGGCCGTGCTCGTCGAAGGCGCCGGCGCAGAGCTCCTGGTAGAGCCGGGGGTCGAGGGGCAGCTCCTCGTCCGAGAGGCTCTCGGGGGGCCCCGGCCCCCCCAGCTGCGCCTTCAGCAGCTCCAGGTCCCCCTCACGCCCCCGGGCCAGCTGGGGAGGGGGTCAGCACTGCCAGGGACCCCCCCCATGGCACCCTTGGGACCCCCCCTGGGACCCCTAATGGCACCCTTGGGATCCCCCCATGGCACCCCTGGGACCCCCAGTGGCACCCCTGGGACCACCCCATCAGTTGTGGGGGGGGG